GCTCACCGGCCCGGCCAACTGCTTGAAGAGCGCCTTGAAGTTGTCATCGATTTCGCTTTCGGAGAGCACTTTCTGAGGGCAAAAAGGGCTGGTTTGGTAAAGAGGCGCCACCACGGCACCGCGCAGACGCCGGCTCCGCTCACCTCATCTGGGAGCGTCGCTTGGATCTTGTCGTCCATTTCCCTGCAGAGATAAGGAAGAGGAGTTTGGCCTCCAGAGCTGGCCGGGGCTTCGTTGGCACCGAGGAGGCATCTCCCACTCACTCGGTGCCGGCTTTCTTCTCGGAGAAGACGCGGAGGACGAAGTCTCCTTCCTTGTTGGGCTCGAAGGTGGAGGGCACCACGATGTACTCGCCGGGTGGGAGCCGGAACCGTGTGCTCACCTCCCGCAGGTTGATGAACTGCTCCGAGCGGGCGCGCGAGGCGTTGGCCAGGAAGAAATCCCGCTTGAGGTGCACACCCGACTTCCCCACGTGCTGCCGGAACGGAACGGGACGGGGTTCCAGACACACCACCCGAAACAACGCCTGCCCGGCCCCCAAAAAGCACCCGCCGGTGCTGCCCGGGTCGGTGGTGGTGGCATTGATGTACCCACCTCGGGAGGAACCTGTAGGGAGAGGAGGGGAGAGACTGAGGGCGCGCGGTTGACGCCGGCTGACATCAGTTGACACCAAATGATATTAGTTGATGCCAGTTGACATCAGTTGACACCAAATGACATTGGTTGACACCAGTTTACACTAAATGATATTGGTTGACACCAATTGATGCCAGTTGACATTAGTTGATGCCAGTTGACATCAGTTGACACCAAATTACATTGGTTGACACCAATTGACGCCAGTTGACATTAGTTGACACCAAATGACATTGGTTCACACCAATTGATGCCAGTTGACATTAGTTGATGCCAGTTGACATCAGTTGACACCAAATGCACCAAGTTGACCAAGCTGGATGCCAGCTGACATTAGTTGATGCCAGTTGACACCAAATTACATTAGTTGATGCCAGTTGACATCAGTTGACACCAACCGACGCTGGTTGATGTTTGTTGATGCCAGTTGACATCAGTTGATGCTGGTTTATGGCAATTGATGCCAGCTGACTTTAGTTGACGCCAATACCTCATAGACAGCGAATCCGATGGTCTCCATGTCTTTGCCATAGCAGCGCTCGCGGCGCCGGTTCTTCTGCATCAGTGCCAGGAGGAAGCTGCAGCCGGGCTCGCGCCCACCCTCCTCATCCCCAGTGTCGTCCACTTCTTCCAGCTGGATCTTGAACTGTGGGTTTATCCAGAAAGTGGCTGGAAGAAGAGCCAAAAGAGGTTAAATCGGTGCCAAAAATGGTGGGTTTGGGGGTGAAACTGCACTGGCGGCGCCTACCAGGGTAGTTCCTACAGCCACCGGCCGTGCTGCCGCGGCGCCACGTCCCATCATAGAGCCGTGTGTTCCACTTGCGGAATTTGCGGGATTGGAGAGCGTCCGGGGTGAGGTTACAGATCTCCAGGCGGGTGAATTCCCGCAAGAAATCCCGGAAGGACATCCTGAAGGAAGAAGAAGCACCGGTGGGTGGGAGCAGAAGGTTTTCCCTCTTTTCCTAGCGTGAAATGGTCGGGAAAAGGTGGTGGGTTTTCCTTCATCCCTCTTCACTTACCAGAACTCCCCGTCCTCCATCCTGACCATCAGCTGCTGCCGCAGCGTCGGCCCCCTCTGGGTCCTCACCTATCGCTCCACGGTCCCGTCCACTCCACTTCTCCCCAGGGATTGCGCATACGGATCAGGCCCAGGGATTGCCCGCGGTAGTTGATCTGTGAATGGCACCATCAAGCCCCGCACCCCCAAAACGGCCATTTTTCACCCCAAACCCGTGTCACCTCTCACCTGCTTGGCTCCCGTCACCGAGTACGCGTGTCCCTTCACCAGCTTCTTGAACGTCACCGCCTCCATGTCGAAGGCGCTTGTTATCTGCAAGACGACACGGTGGCGGCGTTACCGCAGGATGCAGGAGCCCCAAAACATGGTCTTTTGGCCCCAAAGCAAAGCCTCTCACGTCGATGGAGCAGCCGAGCAGGGAGCCGCGCTCCAGCGCCTTGAGGATGATCCGGTAGAGATCGGCCGGGGGCTTGCGGAGGTCGTACCACTCCGTCACGCCGCCGGTGAAGTCCTCGAAGCCCTCCGAGGTGCTGCCGCCTGAGAGCGCCTCGTAGCAGCCGTTCACCCTGCGGGATTGCAGCGTTCCGGGTGGGATTCAACTCACAGTGAGGAGGAGCAGGAGGAGGAGGAGGAAAGGGACGCACTTGGCGTAGGCTTTCTCCAGCAGCGCGCTCCAGAACTCGCTGCCCTCGGCTGAGTGCACGAAGAGGAGCTTCCCGTCCTTGGTGGGCAGGTAGTCATCCACCACCACGTCCAGCCACTCGCCAAACTGCCAGATCTGCAGAGAGGAGGAGGAGGAGGTACCAGCGTTGAGGGAACCCCTTGGTTTTGGAGCTCAGGAGGGGGATTTGGGGGTGAAAAGAGCCCCTTTGGGGTCCCGCAGCATGTGGATGGTGCATCAAGGAGATGATGGCAAACGTGGGAGATGAACTCGGCGGATGTTTCGTGGTGGAAAGCGCCTGATGGGGCACCAAAACAGTGGAGGGAGACATCAAATTGCAGAGGGGACCCCAGATGGTTGGTTTGAGCCCCAAAATGGTGCATTTGAGCCTCCAAGTGGTGGATGTGATCCTCAAAGTGGCAGAAGGGACTCCAAATTGGTGGATTTGAGCCCCCAAACTGGTGGATTTGAGCCCAGATGGTGGTGCTGATCCCCAGAATGGTGGAGGGGACTCCAAACTGGGGAATTTGAGCCCCAAACTGGTGGATTTGTGCCCCAAATTGGGGGATTAGGGCCCCAAACTGGGGGATTTGAGCCCCAAACTGGGGGATTTAAGCCCAAACGGTGGCGCTGGGGGTTGAGCTGCTCACCTGGAAGTGGAAGATCCCGGCGTATCCATGCTGGAAGCTCTGCCCGTGCGGCACCACGCGGTGCAGGAGCGTCTCATTGAGCGTGAGGGATGCGATGGCCGCCAGCAGCCAACAGTCCCCTGTGGGCAGTGGCCGCCGGTTACTGGCCTGGTGTGGCCACAGCCCCCAGATTGACCAAACCAAAACCCCCAAACCAAAGCCCAACCCCAATTTGAGGGTAAAACCACCAAAATTCAGCTTTGGAGCAGCCGGAGGAGAAGGACGTGGGGGTGTTGGTGGATAACAAGCTGAACAAGAGCCACGTCAGTGTGAGCTTGGGCCCAGAAACCCCCCGTGTGCTGGGCTGCATCAGAAGGAGGGGAGCAGCGGGTCCAAGGAGGGGATCCTGCCCCTCTGCTCTGGTGACACCCCACTTGCAGCACTGGGTGCAGGGCTGGTGTCCTCAAAGGACATAGAGCTGTTGGAACAACTCCAGAGGAGGCCACGAGGATGAGCAGAGGCTGGAGCACCTCCCAAATGAAAACAGGCTGAGGATATCGGGGCTGGGCCGCCTGGCGAAGAGCAGCAGCGC